ACTACTATTAACCGTTATAATTAACTATCATATTTAAAGTCACCCCCCTTAAACCACTGAGATGAGTCTTAGTACATGAAAATTCACTGTAATATGTGCAATTTCTTTTCTTTGCGCACTGTATTACATATTCGTATTGAAGAATTTGTGTAACACAGAACTCGCATACTTCAAATTCCATATTTAGTCAGAATTTGTTTGTGTTGTCATTCCCAGGGAGGGATTACTGCGAAGTCTTTTTCTTTTTAATACCGCCAGATGGCGTTCTTTTTCAATTTGCATGCATTTGTCTGCTTTTTGTTAATAAACCTTTACTATCCGTCTGAATCTCGATCTCTACGGACTAAAGTTTGAATTCTAAATATTTTATAATGAAGACAATCAGCTAAAGAAAAGAAGAAAAAACTTTGGAAATATTTTATTTTAATGCGATTTTGAAATACATCATGACACAAAATACTTCTTGTGTTTTATATTTATTGGTTAGCAATATGACACATACAAAAAGTAATCCTGAGAGATGGCAGTGAGACTTATTTTGGCATTTTTGCATCCACGGAATTTAAAAATGACATAAAAATATACTAAAAAAGGTTAAGAGATTCTCTATCGTCTACAGTTGACATAAAACAGAAAAAATGTATTTTATGGATAAAAGCACATATTATAATAAAAATTTTTTTTTTTGTTAAACCTTTTACGTATTTGTTTCAGATTTAAATATTGAATTCAAATGTTAGATACTCACTGCTCTTCGTAAATAGGAGATACGTCGGAGGGTTACGCAATTTCCCCTCATGTCCACACTTTTACCCTCGTCGTTACCATGGTTACGACAACTATCGCTTTTCGCAATCACCATGATATTCCAACTTCTTAACCCTTAGATTGCCCGAGGAAGTCATTTTGACAGACTTTTTAATTTCAGTTAGAAAGACAATAATGTATATAATGACACCATTTCTTAGAAATTCGTGACTTTCACATATAATTTTTTTTTACAATATTTACTAATAACTTGTTACACAATTGTAAATAATATAAAATATATTAAAAATTAATTGTAAACAAATTTCTTCACACATTATTTATTCCTATTCACAATCCAGTCATTTTGACTGCTTTTGGGCAAATATAGGTATTATATACTAAGTTTTAGTCTTTCGTGAAACATATTGCTGGGGGGGGAAGAAATGAATGAAATATGAAAACATGGTGACGGCGAGGGGAAAAGTGTAGAGAATATTAAACTCGTGTAGCCTTTAAAAGTAATGAATTGTATGTAATAGAAAAATATTCAAAATTGGAATGAATTTTTTTGAAATGAATAATTAAAATGAAAAGGTTGTTCTACAGTGAATACATTTTACGTAATTTTAGAATCTTTGTCAAATATAAACTTATACCATAAAAGAATCCCCTCTCTGCCTACCCTAGCGTAACTCATTTTATGCGTCTTAAACATATTAACGACGAGCCGCATGTATTCATTAATAAATTATTATATTATACGATGTTGAAATTCAAATATACCTAACATTTCAATCTGGTTTGTTGCGAGAAATTTACCGGAAAAAAATATCTTTATAGAGCCCTAAAATGACCGACAAGATATTCAGATTGTATGTATTTTTCAGAAAGAAATACAAACTAAAACTATTTCATCTGTCATACAAATTAAACCAGATGCACAGTGTCAGTGTGCACAAGTAAAAAAAGAGAAACAATTTTGATTTCAGATTTTAACTTACAAGTACGAAATCTTAAATATTCCAAGAAATATGATTATTTATTAGTGCAAACACAGACAATATTTCATAATATGAATTTTCATTGAATAAATATTATTTTTCCGATGTATTTGGAATCTTGCCTCTCAAAATATCTAATCCAATAGTTGCAATCTGGTAGGTACTTTATTTATGCCGCACTAGAGCTGCACAATGGGCTATGGGTGACAGTCTGGGAAACGTCCCCGAGGATGCTCCGAAGACACGCCATTTTGATCCTCTGCAGAGGGGGATGGCTCCCCTGCTTTGGTAGCCCGACGACCTACGCGCACTTTACGGTACAGTTTAACGAGGATCGATACCGCGCAGTCACGGTCCCTACGCAGGCTGATCAAAGTGGTCACCCACCCGCTTACTGCCAGCAACCAATGATGCTGGGACTTTGTTGTTCTACTGGAAATCGTGTCTACGATCAGCCCACTGCGGGAAAACTAAATTTTTTTTTTTTTTATATATATTTCCAATGAGCTGCACAATCGGTCTTGCCGATGAGCAGACCTAGTGCGTTCTCCAGAGGTGGTATCCACTCTTTCAGGACCACCACAATGGGTGAGATAACGTTGGTCATGTTAATTTAGACGTCTAGTTTCTGCCACACTAGATGGCAGCACCGAGACTATTTGGATGCTAAATTGCACTAGGAATTTAATTTTGCCGGGAATGCCAAGAGCCAATAAGGCACTCCAGGGATCTTTTACATGCCGCATAATCATACGACATGGCCGCAGAGGATTTTCTGCATCCCGAAAATCCAGTGTCTGGGCCGGGGATCGAACCCGCAGACTTGGGCTCAGAAGGCCACCCAGCCACAGGAAAACTAAAAGTAAGGTCAGGATAGTAGTTTGAATTCCTTTATGTATACTTTTTTGCGTTTTTAGCATATTTTCAAATTTTAATGACTTAAGATCAATTTGACCCAAATTTAGGATTATTCAAATTTAGGATTCGTCACTTAAAATTACTTTGATTTATAATGGTGTAATTTTTTTATACCTCATAATACAAAGTTTTTTCGACTGTTAGTATAATAAAAATAATAAACAATTCTTTAGATAGAATTATAAATATGGTTAAAGAAATGATTTTCTTTGGATAAGTTTTATTATCCTGTGCAACAAGTTTCTGATCAAGGCTTTCACGAGGTTCATGATACACAAAGAGTAAAATGAAGGGGCTTAAACTTCTTGACCAATGTCCTCCCTACACTATTGAGAACCTTTTCTTCAAATTGGGGTTACTCTCCCTATTTTCTAGGGTCAAAAAGCCGTCAGAAAAAAAAAGGTAAGTTTATTCTGAGAAAGTACTTTTTTATATCTGATTTGTTCTAATTAATTGGCTTATTGAAAGTTGAAGCATTAAAGTTGTAAGCTAAGATCTGACCATTAGATCAAAAATTATTATGACGTTCGTTTTCTTTGCGCGCAGTAATCCTTATAAACTCCGTTGATTATTTTTAACAACTTTTGTTGATTAAGCCGGCGTTGCGATACTTGAAATTCGATTTTCCTTCCTTATAATAGCATAAACATTTTAAGCGCGCTTAAAATAATTGCACCAGAACATTCAAATTAAGATAAATTTTTACTACACAATTTTATCCCTAAAAAGGGAGGAGATGATTTAATAACAATACATAACTTTATTTAAATATCATTTTAAATAAAATTTTAAAAAAGTTATTTATGTCTAAATTGACATTATTTTATTAAATCAAAACAAATTGTCCTACCAAATAGATTTTTGAAGGAAGGATTGTAACAGATATTGATATTTACAATTTCGAATGTACAGTTTAGTGCAGGAAATTACTTATGTCCCAATCTAACAATATGTAGCCGTAAATACAGTATCTAGCCATTTGGCACAAAATATATTTAAATAAAAATCTATTACATCTGAACTAAATATTCTGAAACTAAAACAAATACGTTAAGAAAAAACTTTGATACTTTATGGTCATAATAATAATGAAAATTAGTAATAACAAGTCATTAGAATTAAAGATACTTTGGCATGAAAATGAAGCTTTTTCTTAGAAGAAAAAAAATGGACACTTAAGTTTAAATTAATCCTCTATGAGGCAATATTATAAATCTTTTTTTTTTAACAAAATATATAGATAAAGAAACATTTGTAGCTATTTTACAGATTAAAATAAATCAAAAAGCAATTAATTATATGAAATTTTAGTGCTATCACTTATAACTACGAGTAACATAAAAAATATTTTTTATTGCATTTGCAAGTATATGGAATTTTTTTAATAAACTCTAACTGTTTCATTAGATTTTAAATACTTTTAACTAACTCATTGAAATAATTAATGGGATAATATAAATTACCTTCTTATATTTTATTTGAAATTAAATAATTGATAAAAAAAATTCTTTAAATACTTTTTTGATTATTATGTTTTTATTTTTAGCTGTATTATTTTTTATTATTGGTACTAAAATAGCAATTATAGTTTTAAATGAAAACAATTAGAGCATTTATAAAACACTAATAAATTTTTAAATAAATGTCATATTTAAGAAATTTAAGATTTTATTTTAAAAAAACTATAATTATAGAACAAATTGTGGTGTTATTTAAGAAATTTCATTTAGTAAAATATAAAATGGTTTTTAAAATTATAATATCACACTATTTATTTCTATTGAAATGCGTTCAACTTATATACTATGAAATTTATTTTCCCTTTTTTTTAAAAAAATTATTTTTAGTTACAAACTACAAAAAAAATTTTAAATTCGTAAAAGAAAGAAGTATTTGATGACTGATTTCAATTTAATGCTGATTTATAATATAACGTTAATTTTAAATCTAAACTGAAAGTTATAACACTTGATTCTAACAAGGAAAAAATAACAATTTTAAGACTCATTTTAATTTAAAACTGAAAGTTTCAACTCTGATTTTAATAAAAAAAGAAGAAGAAATCAAACTTAATTTTAACGAAAAAAACGAGAAACTGAAAAAATCATCCCTGATTCGAATTAGAAATTGAAAATTTCAACTCTGATTTCATTCTAAACTGAAAATTTAAAAACTGACTTCAATGCAAAAAAAAAACTAAATAAACAAACTCAATAACAGGAAGTATAAACTTACATATCTTTCAAAGGCGTCTAAATTTTCACATCATAACACTTATTAACAACTATGAAGAAAAAAAAAAATAAATACAAAACATTTCATAAATTCTACAGTGAATGAACTCTTAGCAAAACACAAAATATTCACAGTGAACACAAACTATAGATGTTGCATCATCGCTACATAGTGATGTCCATACTTTAATTTATGAATAAAGCTCAAAATGGATGGCAACAGGAACTAAACACTTATTGTACATTTCCTTATAAGGAAGCCACTGTAAATTAAAACTCAAGCTCAATTACTTTCGCTGAAGTATTCGAATGGAACAAAAAAAAAAATTCGCAATGAGAGTTAGGTTGTCCTCCTGGATTGTTTTTTCAAGTAAGAAATGTAAACACAAGGCAACGAGTTCGATCCTCGAAACAAGTGGTTTCGTAAATACAGAAGTTGATGATCAATCTCTCTCAAAATAAGTCCACCTGTGGTTAGGATTCTTGTGGTTTGGAGTGGGCCTTTTGCCGTCATTTCCTTTAAAACCGTCGTAATCGGGCCTTTTGGGACAACGGCCTCTGTCCGGGTCGTAGCTTCCGTAATCGCATTCGGGAATATGACAGTGACCAGCTAATACGCACCTGAAAAATAATGTATTTTAAAGAACATGTGAAACAAAATGTGAGAAAAGAAACTTTGGAATGTATAGAAAAAATAGAAAAACGTTTGTGAGTATTGAAAATTACATAATTTAGAAAGACTTAGTTAATGTATGGGCAATACTAAATAAGAATTAAAACTTATTTTATAAGTCCAATTTTAAGGTATTTAAAAAAATCGTATTTTATTCAATATAGAAATTGCAATTGTAAGCATTTGCACACCTTACAATCTAAAAAATATATATTTTATTTCATAAAAAAAAAAAAAAGATTCTATAAATGGATAAAAATTGTTACCTAGACAATTGATTCTAAATATGACCTAAAAGGAAAAAAAAGAAATTTTGGGAAATTACAATTTTGACCGAACCCATTCAAACTTATTACGAATTTGTGGTTATGTTATTGTGATAGATCAAAATTTGTGGTTTACTTCCAGCAGAATGTATCACATAATAGTCGCTTTGGTAAATGTCCGAAAAAGATACTAGGTTTAGTTAAGTGCTACAGCCCGGCATACATTTGCCCGGTATGTCCTACATCAATGTTTTCTTTAAGATCTAGTGCCACTGCCCAGTATGCTAAACTGGTACTTCGAACAGTGATGTTTCTCCCAATCTATCCTCAGCAGATAGTAAAATAACGAATAAATATAATAATATCAGCGAATAAATTAATATAAAATCGGATATAACAAATATTTCGGACATTCACCAAAGGGACTATGTGATTGTTGACATTCATCGATGAATGTGGACATTCTCTTGATTTTGGTAACGATTCACGGTAACAATTATATTTCACATTTTTAAAACACAAACAATAAAAAAAAACTCCAAAATAAATAAATGGAAGCAAAGCACGTTTTTGAGTCTGCTTTTTTATATCCTAATTAATAAGTCTCTCAAACCATGTGCAATAGTTCTATCAAAGTTAAATCAAAGTTTTTTCTCTCCTCTTTTAACAGACTTCTATAGTTCACGATTTTATGGGTATTCTAACAATTAATAGGGGCTAATCGTAATGACTTCATACTATAAAACACAAAACAGTTATTTTTTGAAACACAATAAACTTGATACACTAAAAAAAGTGGTCTGTAGTTGTAAATCAGAAAAATTTGATCCTTATTAAAGTTCTTTTTTTTATTTTTTAGTTAACTAGGCTTCTTAAATAAAATAAAAATATTTCGCATACGATTATAAATTTTGTTTATTTAAAGATATCTGAATAAAAAGATTAAGGTTTTTTATATACGTTACCATGAATGATCGAAATCAAGAGCTAGTCGACTTTCGTCGATGAATGTCAACAATCATATGGTCGTTTTGGTGAATTACCGAAATATTTGTCATATCCGATTTAGTATTAATGTATTCGTTGATATTACAATATTTATTCGATATTTTAATGTCTGCTGAGGATAGATTAGGAGAAACATCAGTGTTCGAAGTACCAGTTTAATGCATACTGGGCAGTGGTACGTGACCCTAAAAAGCACTGCTGTAGGGCATACTGGGCAGTGGCACTTGACCTTTAAAAAAAACATTGATGTAGGATATATCGGGCAAATGTATACCGGGGCAGTGGCACTTAACTGGATCTAGTATACATTTCGGACATTTACCAAAGCGACTACGTGATTGTCAACATTCACCGGTGGAAGTCAACAACCACTTATTTCTGTCATTTACAGTACATTATTAAGCATCAATAATCAAAAAAAAATCTGAGGTATGAAATAGATAAATATCACAAATAATATAATTTTTATATTGAAATATATATATTATGTTAAACAAAAGTTATGCTAAATCTGGAGAGAAATTGGGCAGGGACCACCTGCTTCTATGTGGGGCCCTTCATGGACACACTGAGTCCTCAAGATATTGGGAAGCAAGAGAACTTTTAAGGTAATGACTTCGGTCTTATTTCTTTGTTATCCCACGTACATTTGTATTCGTTATTTATTTCATCTTTCTATTTGTACCATTTACCTTGCCATTAGAAATAAAAAAAAAAATTTAAACAAAAGTTAACATGTATAAATTTAAAGCTTAAAAACAAATTATTGGAATTTTTTGCACGAATTCTACAATAAATCAAAACGAGGAACATAATTGTTTTTTTTAAAATAAATAATGAATACATACTGTAATATAATCTATTCTGATTATATTGAAGTTTCATTTTGTAATTTATAAAAATCCTATTGAACTGGAAACAAAACACAAATGTAGTGATACACGTCGCAATGCGTTTCTAATTATTGATCAAATGATTGAAAGTATCTTATTAAAATACTGTAGTTCAAATTGCGCACAATAAACCAGAGGGCGTTAAACTTTTTTCAGACTGTTGTTTTCCTGAAAACAAAACTATATATAAAAAAAAAATCAAGCTTTCATTATGCAGCAGAGAAAAATTTCTAAAGGATTAATAAATCAAGATCACATCTCTTAAAGGCCATTAAAAAGATTTTAACGATAATCTGTTAAACAAACATTCAACAGTCAGAAAATAAAAGCTGTTTTAACTTTACTTGAGAGGGAAAGAAAAAAAAAAACTTTTTCTTATAAAAAGCCGCTCTACTTCAATCAAGATAAAATAAACACGTTTAAGCAGCGCATTAAATTCTTTGAAAGGCAGGTGAAGCGAGTCAAAGTTATCTTAATTAATTACAATGTATCAATCTGATAAGCAGGAGTCATACCACTCACCTCCGCTCGCCATCCGAAAGAGCTTCTCTTCCTCTCTTGATTCGGATGCAAGGTTTATGGCGATCAAAACAATCGCAACTGCAAATCCCATCTTCCAATTCACGTGAATGGAAGGGCGATGGACAGGAACGACACCTATTTAAAGATAAATAAAAACAACTATTTTTTAATATCAAATTAGAATCATCGAATACTATTTATATTTAAAACAAGCAGTTTTTTTTTATGAACAAAAGGGTAAACTATAAGTATATTTGTTTTCTCTCGATATAAATAAATTTATTTTTAAAAAAAATCATCTCATCAAATTAGCAAACTTGATATTTACAAAAGAATGAGTATTTAATTACTTTTACGAATGAATATTTACCGGGTGGTCACAACGAGGTAAAATTTATAGAGTGGTTAAGACATCTATCTTACCTATTTACATTTCACTGAAATATAGTTGCATAGTGTATTAAATATTTTACACACAGGGAATTTTAGGGATTTTTGGGGGACATTAAAATCGAAAAACTGCAATATTTTCTAGTTATGATTGGCATTAAACATACTTGAAATGTTATGTATTATGTACACACATAATTTCAAATATTAATAAGCATTCAATTCATCAAAAATAGCTAACAGATTTCTTTTATTTATTTAAAAAGAGAGTTCCAAATAAAAATGAACTGAACATTTTATAACAAAAAAAAGTTTTGAACTGATTTCTGTAAATAAGTTTCGCGTCATTATGCATTAGTAATACTTATTTAAATATTCGAGCAATAATCTGTACAAAAATTCTGTTTCAATAGGGATTTTTTTAGGCAACTGACTCGACTTTACGGAATTTTATAAAATATACAGAAACCAGGAGAAATTGAATTCATCATTTGGATTACAATAATTTCAGATCTAATTTGTAGCGAATTAACTTTATGTTTGTTAATAAACATAATATGTTGCAAGATTTGTTTAAATATTCAAACCCTAAATTTTATGAAATAAAAATGCTACATATACTTATATTTCGCATAAACTTACTTGGCCAGGAGAATTTTTCTTACCCTGTAATGTTTGCCATATTTAGAGAAAGGCTTCAAAAAGTGCTTTAATAATACACTAGTTTTTTTTTTAAGTTATGAATTTCAAATTTTATAGAGTTTCGTGATTTTTATAGTAACCACTATTATAAATGCTTTAAACTAAATTTGCTATCAAATGCTAGAGCAAAATTGGGAAATTAGGTTATTGACCACTGGACGGTAACGTAATTTCTTAATTTTAACCTACATCTATTCACCAAAATATATTTGCAAATAAAAAGTAATCTAGTTAGCCAACTTAATTAAAAGAAGTTTGTTAATCGCTCTGTTAATTGAGCACGTAAAAATAGACAACCTAATTCCAAAAATTAAATTAAATCTTTTAAAATTTTCAACAACTTCATAAAACATTTGTCACCATTTATTTTTTTAAAAAAAATTCTGGTTATGGCTACATTAGTTTAGAAAATTTAGGTTCAAAAGAATAAGTATAAGATTTATTATTTGAGTTTAAAAGAATAAGCATTTAAGAACTTTAAGTTCATAAGTATGTAATATTTATGAATTTTGGGTGCATTTTTAAGAACATTTGAAGAAGGTATAAAGAAAATGATCATAAATACTTGTTATATTTTTGGTCTCCTAAGGGAAATTGTTCTTCGGTTGTTTTTGACGTCGATGTTGTCGTCGTTGGTAGTGTTGTAGTGGTAGTTGTTGGAAGAGGTGTTGTTGGAGCAACAGTAGTTGTAATGTTCGGTTTTGTTTGGCATTCACATTCTGTATGATTAACAAATAACAGTTTCTCAACATTGGTTGAACGATGATCTCCACCAAGAACCTAAAAATAAAATAGAGTTGACAGGTTTTGCCCATAGCAAAATTTAAAACAAAACACCACACTGTAAAAAAAAAAAAAAAAAAAAAAAAAAAAAAAAAAAAAAAAAAAAAAAAAAAAAAAAAAAAAAAAAAAAAAAAAAAAAAA